GTATTAGTAAAAATGTGAGTTTAATGTACTCGACCAGAATTTGAATTCGGCTCGCCGATTTTTCTTTCTGAATCGCTAACCATTTTACACATCCAAATTAATTATAAGAAATTAAAAATTATGAAAGACTTGACGGAAGCGGGAAGAGGACACCAGGCAGACACAATCCACATAGATCAGACGATGGGGCGATAACCAAAGATTTGAGTCTCTCCAGGATGTAACCATGGCACTATGATTGTTTGCTTTGTAGTCTCAGGACAGGTGTTGCCATGCAGCAAAATTTACCGTCGACTTCCTTGTTCGAATTCCCAATGGATTTATTTTCTTCCAAATTATGGTATATATAGCATTTCTTTCAAAGCTGCCCAGTTTCTAATTTTCAATTTCTGGGAGCCTTCAGGACCTTAAGAATTATTTTTTGAATTCTGGCTCATTATTCTTGACTCACGCTTGTTGATTTGGACACCTCTATGGCTTATTTAATGCTGAAAATTAAATATTTTTTAACAGAATTGTATGCCTTCAACTACAGATAAAATGTATTAGTCATTTGCCATAAATAGGTATTGGTTTGGTTTGGTTTGTTTTAAGGCACCTCAATGAGTTATTTAATGCCGACAAAATTTTTATTGCTGGTAATACGTTTTTCTTCAAAAATCTTTTTTCTGGGAATATTTTTCCTTGAACAAATCTATAGCTGGTCATATTTTTTCCTGTATAGCTGTTTGTATTGCTGGTACTTTTTTAAAAGTATTGCTGATAATAATTTTTCCTTCAAAAATTATTGCTGGTAATAATTTTTTTTATTACAAAGTATTTCTGGTATTGAAACCTATTTTTACACAAGTTTGGGTGTTAACTATTTGCCCATAGCTGGGACCCTAACAGGTGCTACCACCCCGGGTCAGGGTGGACCTGAGAACACTAGCAATTAAGAGGAGGTTCCACGCTCCTCAAAACCTCCCGATCAGAGGCCTTGCTGCCGGATGTAGTTTATCGTCATACCCAGGACTAGACTCGCGCTTTTATCTACAGCATCATCGATATTGATATGATATTGTTTGTAATGAGGAAAGTAACTGTTGGATTCCTAATTCAGCAATAACAGTTGATGGAATTAGAAAATACGGAAAACTGCTTGTCACCAGTAAAAATTTTACAAATTCAGTGTATTTGGGCAGCAATTGTTTTATTAAAAGTTTGGTGAAAAACCAAGGAAAGTTCTGTCAAGAACTATTTCTTTATATTTTCTATACTTCAGTCCATTTTCCTGGTTTCCAGTAAAAATTTAAATATAAGTTGTCCGATATCTGAGTATTTGCGAAATTCGTAAGCCATTATCAAGATTTACTTAAGTGTATTAACTTTGCATATATCAAAAAGACAGATTATATTTTTTTCAAATATCACGACTTCCCACGTCATGCTTTTTTAAAGTATCAAATCTTGTGTAGTTTTAGGACAATACCTATGAAACAATTAAATTCATCACTTACAAAAAACATCCACTATGAACATCACTATCGATAAGAAAAAAAGCAAAAACAACAAACCAATATTGTCTATGAATTAGCTTGGAGATATCTCCAATAATAATTCAAATAACACATACATTAGCTACACAACCACTACATTATCACATCGATAATAGTTCAATTACATCGCATGTCATCAAACAACAAAGCAACAGAAAAGCCGATAAATCATTACCAATAATATAAAAATACGATATTACAAACACTAAAAGCATTAAGCACTAAAGACAACGACATGACATGAATAAAATTTTATCAAATTTACGAACAAACATATTAAATATATTTGATAATTAAAAATAACATAAAAGAACGATACAACACAAACTGACGCGTTATCTGAAAAAAATATATACAAGAAATGTTAGACAACTTTTTTGCTGAAAGGAAATGTGAAAGCGGAATATCAAAAATCATAAAAGGAAAAAATACTTGCGTGTCAGAGCAGGCAGCCATGTATGTGAAAAGTCTTGTCTTTTTGGCTCTATCTTCTATAGTTCCACAATATTTGTTCCTAGTTTTGAAAGTCTTAAAACTTAATTGTTTTATAGCCTATAACTTGGCATATTTATAAATTTCTTGAGGTTCTTTTCTTTTCAAGTAGTTAAATTTTAAAATGGTTTTCAGTTTCAAATTTTACTTATTTTGATGATGTTTTATTTTTAACACATGTTATTTTTCTACTAATGTTCACCCAATACAAATCCCAGGAATCACTCAAGGTAGAGGCTGACTGTGTGGCATTGTATGAGTGTAAGAAAAGACAATAAGTGCAGTTCATGAGCTTATCTAAATAAGGTAACAATTAGCCCTAAACTTGAATAGATCAAGATTGTAGTGACCGGGAATACATCCAGCCGGAGTCCATCCCACAAAGCAGCAGTTCTTGGTAAGAAGCTGTTCATGTCGAACTTATTTCTCACTGATGGAATACGAAGGAAATGTGGATGATGCACCATTGTGTTCGCGGCATGGTGGGTCCCAGCTGCAAATGTCAGAGTTGGTGGAACCAAGGAATGTGCCTCGTCAGAACCCTTTCCATGGAAATAGCGATAGAATAACGAGAAGTCTGCAACGTTTCGTGTGTTGGAAAGGGGTAGGGTGGAAGATAATTAGTCACCCACAAGGCCGCGTAGACGCTTTTGAACAATCAAATCAGGCAAGTGAGAATTAGACAGCTCCAGTAAAGGTTATGGCAGTAATACTCCATTTTGATATGCACGCTACAGATTCCCGACAGCTGCAGGTTTTCTTGATGAGAAAAAAAGAGTCAATTGTCGAATGCAGATTTTATATTCATCACGATTTTCACAAACAAAAACGTAATTTGTCCATAAACAAATCTTGAAGCAATAAAAGCACCAGCAATAAAATTTGAGTAAATTTCAAAGATACTTGTATAATTTTCTTGACACCCTTGGAGTCAAGAACTTCTCCATCAACCTTATAAAAAACCTTTACCTTAAGCTAAGTGTATAAAAGATTTGGAATATTTAATTGTACATTGAATATTCCAAATCGTTTATAGACTTGACCGTTTAAAATTCTTGAATGATAGTCTGTTAGATATGAATTCTTATCAGTTAAAAAAAATACTAAACTGATTTAATTCAACATTGTGGGGGTACGCGGACCACTTGTTGGGAATTTACCGTCTCGTATTCTCCTTTCAGAGAGTTAAGCTCTGTTTCAATAATTTAGATTGAAACATTTTCTTGAGAAAATACGATTTTATAAAAAAATATGATTTTATCAAAAAAAAAAAAAAACAAAGAAAAAAAAAAAGAAAGATAAATTATTTAAAAAAAACATAGAGAAAATGCTGGATATTTGAGACACAAAGAAACTATCAACGTATAGCGATGTTGGTAACTTGTCATACTATAGTATACTTCCAATAAAAAAAATCCAATTTAAAAGTATAATTTATTTACATTGTTATGAAGATTTTTTTATGTCTCAGTAAAATTGAATTTTTGCGGATTTAACTTTTCAAAGGAAAACTATTTTAAATATTCATAGAAATGGATATCTGTACGATAGAAGGAAAGTTCATATACAGAGTTCTGTAGAAATACCTCCCACATAATGGTAAGACATTTGTGGTAATGGTGTCTTCATCTAGCTAATGTCTTACTATTATCTGGGTGCTATTTCTGGGGGGTATATGCGAGAGGTATTCCTTTCGCATTTTGTATGTTGTAGGGGGTGTAGAAAAGCAATTATCTCCCTTTTGACAGGAAGAGTTTACTGATGTCTTAAGAGACCCATAAGAGTCATGTGACAGCCCATTGGTGAGACTTTTTCGCATAGTATGCAGCACAGACAGTCACCGAATATATTGACTGGTTTCTGTCATTGAATTAAGACTATCTATTAATGATAATCCAATTAGTGATACGCAAGCTATGTGTGACTAATAACTAAATCAATCACACAGGTATCAAGTTTTCAGAAAAAAAACATCTTCTTTCATCTGAATGAAGAAGTCAAGAGTAAAACCTTTTAGGGTTGGTTGGTTGGTTGATTTTGCTTAGCAGCATATCAACCTCTATAGGTTATTTAATGCCGAAATCTAAATATTTTGAATGCAGTTGTATGCCTTCAATTACAGATAAAATGTATTGTTGGTCATTTATATATATATATATATATATATATATATATATATATATATATATATATATATATATATATATATATTACTGGTGTTTTTACTATAAAAATTAATTTTTATATTTTCATAGTGTTTTGTTTTTGTTGTGGTGGGAGGTCACTATTTGCTCATATCTAGGACCTTAACAGGTGCTACCACCCCATCCCAGGTTAGACCTGGGAACAACAGCAATTAAGAGGCGGTTTCACGCTCCGCAAAACCTCCAATCTCTCGATCAGATGCTTTGCTGCTGGATGTAGTTTATTGTCGTACCCAGGACTAAAAACCTTTTATGGTTACCCGCGTACTACGAATGGGCATCCATGGCATCTTTTGTGGGACGGATTTTTGATATGCTACTGAAATCATTACACACTATCAACTTAAATTTTAAATATTACCGCAAATTCTATTCACTGGTATATCAGTAACAAGCTCTGGTGTCTAAATCCCTATTCACCTGTAGACTGGGGCGTAATCACCGACCTGTGGTAAATGCAAATGGCGGCGCCCAGTGTTTACGTTCAAGCGTGCATTTGTGTGAAATTTAAATCATCAAATGAATGAGTTATCAGCCTAGTTGCTGTGGATTAAACAGATAAAAAAAAAGAAAATCAGCCAGTGAATGCTCAGAAAATATTCGATTTACTTAATTCCTGAATTGAAAAGATTGAATAAGAGTAATTACGGTGGGAATAACATGGTGCCAGCTTCGAGTTTATAATAGCGACGGAAATGATCTGCGACAAATTAGAATTCGATCTAAAACTATATGAAGAACAAGATAGGGAAGACAGAATTGGGTGTCAATCCAACGATGCCGGAGAGAGAGAGAGAGAGAGAGAGAGAGAGAGAGAGAGAGAGAGAGAGTCTGTTAAAAAGGACAGAATAGAAACATTTTAGTCACAACATTTGATTTGCTACTGTGAGCTCCGGAAGCCACGAATATGATCTCTGGAAACCCAGAGACAAGGTTTCAAAGGATTAAATAATATAAACCTTGAGGTTGCATCGTGGCCGGAAAGTTGCAGTTTTCCAACCAACAAGGTTGGTATTCGTGTTCAGGTTTAAGGCTTTCGAATGATAGGGTGATCGGTGCAACACAGTCTTTCTCCTCCAAATCGGCACGTTTGGTAGACGTGTATTTCTCATCAGCACAATTGGCCGGTATTCAAACTAACTAGAGTTGCCGATTATCTTGCATTTTAATACTGAGGAACGTCACCCGTATTAACCGATGTGTGTCTTAAAATGCAGGACAAAAAAGTCCCGCGTTTTGTGCATCGATGATTCTTTTTGAAAATTACGCGTAAATTTTTGCCTTTTCTCTCCCTCTTTTTAAGATGTACTTAATAAACACGAGCATAAATCAGTTTCGCTCTAAGATTCTAATTGAACGGTTATTTTGTACTGACCGTTTAAAATTCTTGAAAGATAGATACGAAATCTTAACAGTTAAAAATACTAAAACTGGTCTAATTCAGCTTTTTGGGAGATGCGCTGACCATTTGTTAGGAATTCCAAGTCTCATATTCACATTTCAGGAATTTGGTAATTCTAGGACCAAGGTAAAATCTATTGCATTTTCGTGCTGTGCAGTAGAAAGCTAAGCTTAATAAATATCAAATGCATGTGTGCACACCCGGAAGTAAAATAAGGAATCAGTGAGATTTTTTTTGTTGCTTTTGAGTGGAATGTGGATTTTCCGGATAATCCACCAAAGCCTTGGAGAAATAGCGCAAAGCGTTTTGAGCTTATAAATTAATCCACGAATGTAACTTACCACCCGCCAAATGCAAAAACGGAATAGAATATAGAGAGCGCCAGTTTTCCTGGATCGGTCACTGTACTTTCAAAAAAGGGTACGATATTTTCGATGTGACCTGCAATGAATTTATACGAACACAATCTTATCAGCTAATTTCTTCAGAAAATCTACCGTTGCGCTTTTATTGTATAGTGACCTTAAACATAGTATCAGTAGCAGCCCTAAAATAACACTTATCAACAGCAGCTCTCGAATATAAAAACACATCAACTCTGAAGTGAATTTCTCTCTTCTGGGTTTTCCTCTTTCGAACTGGTGTCATGAACTTTCTACGCTGAAACTAAAAGAGCTGTGAACGCTATACACATGAAACACACCAAACAAAGAAATTCTTGCTTTAAACTTTTCTTTTGTTAATTTGTTTAATAAATGTTATCTTGCATTGCAAATCAATTGGTCTGTTATTTTGTGTATGTATTCACCATCATTATTTCATGTACTATAAAATGTTCCCATAAGAAACCTTATGCATTTAAGCATTGAAATAGCTAATCACCAAAATTGTATCGTAAAACTGAATTTACTTGGCGTTACTTCGTAATGGTGAGATGAGCAGTTTCTATACAGAAAACTTTCAACATTCATTGACCGAACAGATAGCGTTACTGCCGATTAAAATTTACAAAATCTATTAAAACAATTTTTCAGGAAAATACATTTCTTAAGTTATTGCCCTTTCCAGATTGATGGGAGTTTCCTTCCTAACTTTTTGTTCGAAGTACTTTAGAACGTCAATATATGAATTATTTCATTATTTTCTTTTCGAGTTTACTTTCCATTTTAGTTGTTACTACTTTTCAACGTCCTCCAGTGATTCAGTTTTTTTATTATTTGGTACAGTTCTTAGTGATTTTGTAGCGCCAGTTCACGAATTTCGACCCCCCACAAAAAAACTGTCCTCTCCAAGATCTACAGGTTTCACGTAGGCAAGACATTAGATACTTAAATTATTATTTTTTTGTTTGTTAATTTTTTAGTCAATTCATACGCAAAGTGTTACAAGACAAACAGAAATATTCTTACCTTCGTAGGCTTTCATAGCGGCGCCAGCTATGATGATTAAAAGGGCAATAATCTTCGTGGCGGAGAGGTAGACCTGGATTCTGGAGACAAGGTTCTTGCAGAAACAGTTGAGGAAAACTAACAAAACTGAAAAGACATTAAAAGTGAATTCCTAATACGTCGGCAAAAAGAGAGAAGTGCGACCGAGAGTTTGTGTTTATTCGCACTAATACCCTTGGGAAAGGCATGAATCAGTCTTCTTCCCATGCTAATAGCAGACTGAGCTTTCAATGCAGGTTATTTAGAGCCGGAAAATATTTTTAGATTGTAAGAATTTTTGGGAGATAATAACGATTTACTGATACAAGTCACACTAATTAACCCATAGCTGGGGGAGAAGAGGTGGATTCATACCTTTCCCAAGGGTATTTGCGCGTAAGTGAATATAACGAACCCAACTGGAATTGGAACTCGGCTCTGATTTTCAATTTCGAGCCATTATCCGTTACACCACCCGCACAGCCAAGCTTACAGAACCTAGTATTCCTAAGCGGTCACCCATCTAGATACTGACCAGGCTCGGATTTGCTTAACTTCGGTGATCGTAAGAGAATCGGTGTTCCAACGTGTTTTGGTCGTAAGCCTGTATGCTAGCAGGAGAAAGGCAGCATTCAATCCAAATAAGGAACGAGATCACTAACAGTGGTTGAATGTAAACTTTGCCTTCCTTTCAGTAGCTACGATAGTCAAGCAGATGTCATTACGCTGTTCTGTGGCACTTATCTCTCATTTCCTAGTGTAGGTTGCTCGAGCAAACTTGATTTTGTTAGGCAGTGCCTCTTTTTGTTCTTATTTCTTTCTTCATCTTAAACTGACAACCATCAGGCAATATTGTTTCCTGTGTCTGCAAATGTCTATATCCCTAAAACGCATAAATGATTTTAGCAATAATGTTCATCACTCTTCTAACAGAGATATAGCAAATTTTAAACAATACATTTATTCCACTTTCGAATTTGGAAACGTTGCCAATTCGATCTGTTATAAGGATTTTTAATGTCGTAACAAAGCGAATAATATATTGTTATTTCATTGAAGAAAACGTTCGATTTGAAATTCGTTGAATTTTACTGGATGCTATAGAACGCATGATCCAAAATCGAAACAGTAAAAGTAGGATATTGGATTCGCTAATTAATGAAGCAATCCTAATAAGTCATTTCAGCGTTTAGTAGTGATTTAAATGCATCAGTATTGACATTATTCGGACTATTGTCCTCATCTTTGTCGCCATATTTATCACGACGTTTCGACCATCGTTCGCTGCGGCCTTCTTTAGGTGGTTGGAATGTCGAACTGGACCCTTTATTTCGCTCACTGGGGGAGACTGTTCGAGTTCCACGTGCCATGTTTTAATGGGTGTCAGTTATCAGTTATCTCCTGTTAATTTCCCTCTGAAAGTTCTCCATTGTCTTAACCGGGTATTGAGCTCACACTCTTTGGGTCCTGTCACTGGATCTAACTAAACGAAACGTTGTAATAAATATGGCGACAAAGATGAGGACAATAGTCCGAATAATGTAAATTGTGTACATAATACCTCATCTCAGAAATATAGACAGATACTGAAAGGCCGAAACGTTGTAATATATATGGCGACAAAGATGAGGACAATAGTCCGAATAATGTAAATAGTGTACATAATACCTCATCTCAGAAATATAGACAGATACTGAACGGCCGAAACGTTGTAATATATATGGCGACAAAGATGAGGACAATAGTCCGAATAATGTAAATAGTGTACATAATACCTCATCTCAGAAATATAGACAGATACTAAATGCATCATTCATAAATTTTGAAAGAAACTAGTTAGAAATTTCATTTATTCATACTTTTGTCGGAGATGTTAATTATTTTCGCTAGACACGAACGTTTCAATAACACTATCACCGACAGTAACTCCTTTTCAGCTTTTGGGCATGCATAAAAAGAAAACAAAAAAAACAAAAAAAACAAAACAACAAAAAAAAAAAAAAACGCGGAGCATACGTGCTGTGAACCCGAAAAGGCTAGTTCTCTTTCACAGCGGACTGACATCAAGATAGGACACTAAAGTTAGCGCTCTGTGCAATAGACGCACATGGCATAGACAATATACCTCACTTGCTCGTTAATTCATCAGCAGTTCAATGTTTCCTTCATTCTTTATAGAGACTCTTAAGGGCACTGTTTGAAATTTTGTCTACAACAAAACATTTTCTCGATAGAATATTTCTATCTTGTTTTGTTTCACTCTTTTGTTTGTCTATTTTCTCAACTAATTCAACGCTTTTAGTTTTTGTTCAGCGCACGACATCTTACTTAGCAGCAACACTTTCAAATAAAAGAAACCATTGTCGTGTTAATAGCATTCAAAATTCTGTATACACATACGATCTCTCTATAAATCGAAAAACTAAAAAAAAAACAAAAAAAAAAAACAAAAAAAAACTGAACTTTTTTCACAGAAAAAACGTCGTTTTAAAAAAAAGCACATCAGTATTATTATGGTCTAACTTTATCTCCTTTTTTATAGTTTTAATTTACCCCAATCAGTGCGAATGTTCATAAAGGTCATCTCTAAATCGACTAATAATGTATTTGCACTGTTCTTTTTAATGAAAAGTCCTTTCAGGACGGAGATCATCATGTCTTTCCATGGCTACCTTTTTGTTAATATTTGAATAGCCATCCGTCCTGGGTATGACGATAAACTACATACGCGTCCAGGGTAAGATGATAAACTACATCCGACAAGAAGGCCTTTGATCAGGAGGTTTTGAGGAGCATGGAACTACCTCTTAATTGCTGGTGTTCCCAGTTCTGTCCTGACTCTGGGTGGTAGCACCTGTCAGGGCCCCAGCTATGGGCAAATAGTTAACCCCCAAACTGGGGTCAAAACACTATGAAAATATAAAAGTAGGTTTTAATACCAGCAATACTTTTTTGGAAAAATTATTATTAGTAATACATTTTTGAAAAAAAAAATTACCAACAGTAAAAATCTTGTCAGCATTAAATAACCGTTGAGGTTGGTATACCGTAAATCACAAGAAAACAAACCAAACATGAATAGCCATGATCTCTTGGGAAATATGGTTGAGTTGTTTCCCATTACATCGGTTTTGAATTCAAAGTTATCATTCTTAAATCGTTGTCGCCTAAAGATCGAAAGAAGCCCAATCTTTCCTGCTATTTATACATTATTTCGGTTAGAAGGGACAAATTCATACTGCCTTTCCCCAAGAAAAGCAAGAATTTATATCTTCTCATTGCCCGCCCCCCCCAAAAAAAAAGAAACATTTTCTGCTGACGAAGTGGAAATATTATATTGAATTGTTAGGTTTGCTGCTAGGAAAGTTGCTTCTCTTTGTTTTGACAATTGTTCTCTCCAGAATCTATTTTGTATATTTATGAATTTACCATTCATCCATGCTTTGAATATTGCAGCCACATATGGTATGTTGATGCTGCAGATAGTTACAGATTCTGGAACAAAGAACAATCTGCAATGTTATTGGTTTTGTTCTGGGACCCTTGCTTCAGTCACTTTCCCACCGCCGTAACAGCTTCTCTGTGACTTTACTACAAATACTTTCATGGTATCTATGCTGTTTCTCCTCTCGCACTTCTTGCTTGTGAAATTCTTCCGGTATCTTCCTTTTCAGTTAACTTTGATCTCCCAAAATTTAAATCGTTATCTTCTGTTTTATTAATTCCTGTTCTTTTATTGTTCTCTTTCCTTAATAGTGTTTTTTCTCATTACACAGTAACCCCTTGCATCTTAGTGGTTTTATTGCCTCGCTTGGAGTGAAATGATTTTTAAAAAAGAAAGACCAGGATGAAATTTAAACTCGAGTCGATGATTTCATTTTTTGAGCTAAAAACAGTTACGCATGCGCACATCCATTTCAATATGCAACAAGTGTTTGATTCAAACGTTAGGGACAAGAGACTGCGGATCTATATTTTCTCTTAAAACATTTTAATTTTCTTCCAATAAGATATTTTATATATAACAGTGACAATGTGACTTGAACTGGTGTTTGGCAACTACGGTCATTGTTCCATAGTGGACTGTATCAGTTGTGTAGCTACGTTTATCTTCACAGCTCTCTTCAGACCAATACAGAAAATCTCACACTGAAAATCAAATCAGCCGTCTTCTCAACACGAGAAAGATAGTTTTTTTTAAGCTATTAAATGGTACAGCGCATATGGTTTGTATTGGATAGTTTTATTATCCCCAGTAGGTAAATTTAACAAAAACTTCCTAATCCTAGCATTTATAGACTCATGTTTTCCTATCAAGGGCGGAAATTCTCACTGAAAACTTTTTTTTTTAATAGGAAATTTAGCCTTTTTGCAAATCACTGATTCGTCATTTCACGATCCAAATTAAATGTCCCTTAACATTCTTTTCCCTTTTTTAGCGAGTGCTTATGGCCGACAACTGACTCTATAAATAAAATATATCGTATTTCAGAACAACCTGTGGGGATATTTTTTTATTTTTATTTTTTCAGTTAGATTTTTATTCTCCCTAATCCTTATGATTCTCTTTTCTTGAAATCAGGATACTTACGTATAAGAAGGGCAGCTATCACTTTTACAACGACGTCTGGCGGGGAGCAGCTCGGAAAGATCGGTTTTATCCCATACACAGCGGCTGTGTAAGACAGAAATGACCAAAACGGACCCGTCGCCAACATCATGTAACTCCAGAGCATCATGAAACCGGCCAGAGGACCACAAGCTGCCTTCACGTAGGAATACGCCCCGCCAGCCTCATCAAGGGAAGTGCCAAATTCCACGAAAATCAGAGCCTGCATCCAGTTCACAACGCCGCCGAACAGCCAGACAACAAGAGACACACCCAAAGAGCCCGTGTTCTCCAAGATGGATGACGGAGTGATGAACACGGCCGTGTGGCCGGTCACTGCTATCAGACTGGCCGTGACTTGCAATAGCGAAATAGATTTTTTCATTTGCATGGACATCTTCCTTCTGGTCAGCCGTTCGACGAGAGATTTTCGTCGGACGGTTGTTGATGGGGGACGCCCACTACGCCTACCCCCGGGATCGCTTTCCTCTTGCACAATGCCATGGCCAACATCGTTGTCATTTCTAACTTTGGTGCGTTGTGTTTCAAGTGTTGTTTTCTCTTTACGTGCGCTATTTTGACATCGAAGGCTCTTTTTATGCTTGCCCATTTTACCCCACCTGTAAAAAGAAAAAAAGAAAAGAAAAACTAATGAATAAATGACTGACATTTTATCATTCGAAACAATGATATATATATATATATATATATATATATGACAAAGTCCGACAATTATTTTAAGACATTTTTTTTATGTTTATACACTCTTTCTATAGATACAAATATTTAAGTAAATGCTCTGTTTATAATAAACAGTATTAAACAACATTTACTGGCCTGAATGTCCGAAAAGTTTTCATAGAAAATATTCGTCCTCCGACAGGAATCGAACCTGTATCCTATAAGGAAACCATCATATAGCCTGACGTGCCTTTAACCACAGAGGAGCGTTCGGTTAGCAAAGTCAATTTTACTGTCTTTGTCCATTTCATAATGTGTAACGTCATTTGTTTACATTTGGATAAGCCATGAGCAGATATGAATGTATGTGAGAGATTCATGGAAGATTGTAGTTTAAAGACAGTATCCATGACACACCCATACAAGTTTACTGTACCTGGTATTTCCAAGTGGAAATCTTGGTACTGACCAGGCAAATTGTTAATCGGAAAGTAGAGTTTCAATTCCAGTCAGGTTCGTTATATTCACTTATGCACAAATACCCTTGGGAAAGGTAGGAATCCATCTCTTCTCTCCCCAGCTATGGGTTAATTAGTAATAGTTGTACCCCTAAAACACTTATAATTTTCAAAAAAATAAATAAAGTAAAATTGCGTACAAAATATTTAGATTTCGGCTTTAAATAACCCATAGAGTTGTCGATATGCCGCTAAAGAAAAATGACCAACAACCAGACTTAGTAGAAAACAGTGCGAGCAATGACTGATCTGTAACAACAACAACAATAATAATAATAATATGAGATCTCTCTTGACCTTGATAGCGGAACGAAAATAATCTATTTTCGGAGATTAAATAAAAAAAATTCTGGTCGAAATTTTGTTCGAGAAAGTAAATGTGGATGATATACTATCGTAACATCGTTTCTAAAAGTGGCCGTCGGCCTCTACAAGAAAATATAAAACAGGAGAGAATAACGATAAAACAAAGTTTTTATAATAAAAAAATTAAAAAAAAAAAAAAAACAGACTCCGAAGCCAGACTCTTGAGAAAAAATTCCCATTTGCAGAAATAAAACTAGGAAACCGGATATGTAGAAAATAAATATTACCCACAATCCTTTATTGAAGAAAAGAATAAGAAAAGAATAAGAGCAGCAATATAATTGTCTCTCGACAGAAGCCATCTTTGCAAAAGTGTTAATGAAACTTGATTTACAAAGTTATTTTGTTACAAAGAAAACATTTTTATTCATATGTATTTGTATATATATTAAAAAAAATAAATCTTGTTGGTATGAAATATAACTTAAAAGGTTGATATACCATAAAACAAAACAAACCAAACCAGAATAATACCAGCAATGTAATTGTCTCTCGACAGAAGACCTCTTTGCAAAAGCATTACTGAAACTTGATTTACAAAGTGATTTTGTTACAAAGAATACATTTTTTATTCATATGTATTTATATATATATATATATATATATAATTGTTGGCATTAAATAACCTTTTGCCATAAAACAAAGACGGAGACAACAACGACTAAAATATAAAAATATTAGTACAAAATATAAATAATAATGAAATTATAATAATCTGCTATTATTGACAAACAATTATCAAGTAAAAGAAAAATCTATGCTGTTTTTCATGTCCTCTTTTTTTTCCAGTTCCAAAATCAACCTTCGAATCGCAGAAGCAGTATTTTTCACCCATACGAAATCTACTTTACAACCGTCATAAAGTGTATATTTACAATAGAAACGTGTCGATTAAAAATTTAAAACTTGATTGTCAGAACTTGTTTATTGTACGAATGTAAACGTGAAGCAGAGGCAGCTCGTAGAGCCTATACAGCATTTGGTAAAGGAATATAGTGATTGAATGACATTCAAAATATTTTCAGCTCAAAAGATGTATTTCGTAAAGCAAGGCTTATTAACATCGATGATGACAGCGGACACTCCGTGTTGAATGTAAATCTGCTTCAAAAATTCAGTTCTTTGCATTGTGGTTCTAATTTCAGATGGGATTTTTTTTATTTTACTATTGTTCATCCAGTACAATGCCCAAGAGCCACTCAAGATAGAGAGATATTGAATAGATGTAAGAGGAGGAGGTAAGATGAGTAGATTATGAGGGTGTGTTGCAAAGATGACGGTTCACTAGAAATTTGAATAGGTTAAGGTTGTAGAGATTGAGGAAGCATCCTCTTAGGAGTCTGTTCCACAAAATAACAGTTCTTCAGAAATATAACTTTTTTTCTTACAAATAAAATACGAAGGGAATGAGGATGGCGCGCCTCTGTGGCGGGTCTGAGCTGTAAAGGTCTGAACTAGTGGAATTAAAGAATATAGCTAGTCAGAATATTTTTCATGGAAATAGAGTAGAGGCCTTTGACTGTGTGTCTGAGAAAAGAATTGTAGGATAGAAAATAATTAATTGCCTACAAGGTCGCGTAAAAGCTTGTGAACTGTGTTGAGTCTGGAAAGAGGATTGGATAGCCCCAGTTCTTGTATGGCAACAATCCACCATTTCTGGTCTGATATGACTTATATAATTATTTCAGACCAGAATGTCTATTTTGTAGGTTATAACATTTCAATGAAGAAAGCTAGAGAGTATAACGTCCGAAACATTGCGTACATAAAGTGTGTTTGATATCGGAGATTGAACATTTATATATATATATATATATATATATATATATATATATATATATATATATATATATATATATATATAGAGAGAGAGAGAAAGGACATAAGAATCAACACTGCTGGGTGACAAGGTTGATTCCTTTGTGCATACTATATAATTTTGCGTGCATTAAAAAAACACGATCCGTAATAAGACTTTATGAAATTTTGCTTTCTTTTTTTCGTCTATTTGGAATAATTCCGAGTCTAGAATTTCTTTTTTTTTTCACTGGTGAAATAAGGCCATTCGGTGCCAACCGATGTTGCTGGTTTGGAAGTGAGTCATGTGTTAGCCATTTTTCGTATTGTGCCCCGAGACATAATAAACATGACAAGAAAAGAACAAGTAGAAAGGAAGGTGTGTGTGTGAGTGTGTGTGTGTGTGTGTGTGAGAGAGAGAGAGAGAGAGAGAGAGAGAGAGAGAGAGAGAGGATATACGAATAGAAACGTAAACAAACAAAAAGAAAGCTGCAGCTGCTTCAGCCAACTTCAGTTTCCATATTACTTGCTACTGACTGGTTGGTTCGTCCAGTGACCAAAAGTAGTTATCAATGTGTCATACTAGACAAAATTGTGGACGACTGATAATATATTTTTTTTTTACAGAATATCATTGGGCATGAGTAATTATTTTAAAGTTTCATACAACAGACAGTAATGTGTTACATGATATCAACAAGCAGAATTAAAGAATACCTGACTGCAAATCGTGTGTTATCCTTGCATGTTTGTGACCAAATATCTGACGATAGTAAAAACAGGAGAGAATTTTGATTTTGCATCTCGGAAAAGGGCAAAGGCGAAAGTTTAAGTCTGTTCATCTGTTCCATTAACATCAACTTAATTACTGTACAAATATTTACTGAGCTTAGTCGGATACAGGGTCATAGATGCTTACCTTTCCATACTGTTAACTATACACAGAGTCCAAAACAAAACGTTAGGAAGGAAACTGTCATTAATATAAGAAGAGCTATAATATTTAGAAGGATTGAAAAATATTTGAGAGAAAGATTTTATAGACCGACAGTAATGCTAACATTTTGGTTAATGAATGGCGAGGTTTTCCTGAATGGAAACGGTTACATTCACTTTGGAATTGAACGTGTCGGAGTTGGTTCTTCCATAATTCCCAAATTGTCACCAGGGGTCTCTCTCCCTATACTATAAATACTGGGAAACTTCTTGCCTCTTCCTCTTTCTTCTTCATTTCAGCGACAAAATGTAAGCTCTTAGAAGATCAGCGTTTCCCATTTCTAGGAAGACGCTATGAACATTACAAACATACACGTACATACGAACATTCACCAAAATACAAACATTGACCAAAATACAAACATTCACCAAAATACGAACATTTACCAAAGAACAAACACAAATGTTCACACACACACACACACAAGTAATATTGTCTACGTCCATTGTAAAATTATTTTATTTTTTAATACATATATTTGTTTATATATATATATATATATATATATATATATATATATATATATATATATATAAAAAAAAGGTAGCGAAAAATAACCATATTTTAAATCAATTAATTAATATATATATATATATATATATATATATATATATCGGTAACACGCAACCACACACCAAAAGCTTACAAAAACGTACCTGCGGTCGTCCATGACAAGAGATTTGGGCAATTTTGTCAATAAAAAAGGATTTTGTAAAGGAAGGTGTAGAAAGAGCCATGAAAAGATTTGCAGATTTAAAGGCTTGAAAAAATGTCTTAGGTAAGATAATGAATGTTTTATTTAGTTTGTATTAAGTTGTATAGTGTAATAAACTCATTATTCTACATTTTCAGTTTTCCTCCATGTGAAAATTAAAAAAAAATACTTGTGAAAACGCCAAAGTTCAGTTCTCACCACTAATATGATAATAGTCGTTTCTCTACAAGGAAACATTTGGCATTCATTGATCAAGCATTCAGTACTGTTTTTAGTTGAAAGTTATAAAATCTTTCTCTTCAAACAATTTTTCAGGAAAACAGGTTTCTCAAACCCAGTAGTTGTTATCAGTTTTTCCAGTATTGATGAGAGTTTATTTCCTAACCTTTTGTTTGAAGTGGTGTGGAAAGCCAACATCTTAATTAATTCATTTTCTCTTCTAGTTACATGTGCTATTCATTTTAATTGTTGCTGCTGTTGGTAATCTTCAAGTGAAGCGGTTTCTGTTATTTGACACAGTTCTTTGTGATTTTATAGCGCTGGTCAACAATGTTCAAAAAACGATGATCGTGGCTAAGACCCCCAGGCTTCACTCGCTTAAAGTAACTTTTCACCATTGATCTTAGGTAGCAGTTGTAGACAGCTTAGATATTTCAAAACGGGTTTGGCACCATTCATAGCATAAATATGAAAGTTTCAATTAGATGAGGCTATTTAAGAATATGACCCAAGTTTCCAGGTTTATGTTTTGGTTTTGCAGCAATTTGTGGTGTTAGGAGAAACTACCTCGGGTGCAACATGTTCTTTGTTCAATTTCTTTTTCTCCTATACTTAGTATGTTATAGCGCTTGCTCTGACAAAAGTCGTTAAAATATCAAACATTATTCGGATAAGTGAACATCTTTTTCGCGATGTTGATAATAATACAGTGTTTAGACAGATTCATTGGCTGCATGATCTGTCTAGCATTTTATTAAGTTTAATCTGACGCAAAACTAAATATATAGGGCTGAGATATGTTCTAAAACCGTCAGTGGCTGCAAGAAGCCGCGGACATTTCTGAAGCCCGTGTTGTGTTTTATATATTTTTTATCAAAGTTTAATTTCTTCGACAATAATTAACAACAACAATTATTAATGAAATAGAACAATTATATAACAAAATTCAGTAAAAGTTAACATCTCGAGGCGGTGGAACTGGCTGGTTCCATTCAATGCCTTGAACACCAAACTAGTTACATTCTCTCATCGCCTATCGGATTCTGAATTACAAACAATCACGATGAACGGATGTTCTCTAAGGGAGGTCCCATGCCTATTGGGACTTAAACTCACTCCAGACATCAAGTGGATCCATCGCTAAAGATGCTGGAAAAATGGTCTGCTCCTTGTAGCGCTCCAGTAAGTTCCTGATTCTTCTTGCTTTTCTCTACCTTTACAAGAGCCAGATCAGGCCGAAAATGAAGTACTGCTGCCATATATGGGCAAGAGGCTGCGCACTCTTTCCAGTCTCAATAGAGTCCAAAAGCGTCTCCGCGTTCTTGACGAATTATCTTCCACCCTACGACCCCCTTTGCCGCAGACGAATCGTCGTAAGCCTCTCGCTGCTCTTTCGCTATTTCCATGAAAAGTGCTCAGCCAAACTACATTCCTTAGTTCCACCAGTTCTAACCTTCACGGCTAGGACCCGCCAGGCTACGCCCATTGTAGCGAACCACCCTCATTTCCTTTATATTCCATTTATGAGATGTAAGTTTCCCACGAGCAGAAGCTTCTTACGAATCACTGCTTTGTGGAACCGACTCCCAAGAGGATACTTCCCCGATTATTGCAATCTTTAACTGTTCAAGTTAAGGGTTAACTGTTATCTTCGCCATATATCCCCAGAAAACTGTGCCTCTTACTCTGTAACACTCTTCTTGGAGTTGTCCAGGCAGGGCCGGTGCATACTACCTCCAAAACCTCCGACCGAGCGGGGGCTGATTTGAAGTCCCGGGCAGTGCTTTGTGACCCTCACTATCTTATCAACATTTGCTTTTTCCTACCTACATTTATATATGTTACAAATTAAATTAAACACAACTGGCTATTAAAGGATGAAAAGTTTTCGGATTTTGATGTCATTTTGGCATCTTTTTTTTTTTTTAGGACAAATCCGTGAATTTGTTTTGCTCATGTTGTCTCGCAAAAATACTATATAAAATTTGCTATATTTTTTTATACATAATATTGTATGAGCTAAAATTATTCAGCTTCTTAAGAAGAAAAATTTCAAGTTGATGTTAAAAATTGCCGCAAGACATTGATTTATTTAAGATTCTATGATCTATTATGACAGGTCTCTAATTTATATTTAGATATATTGTATTTTTGATTTTAAATTTTAGTTGAATAGTTCACCTATATTGCATATAATCCATTATTGTATAGCTTATAATAAAATTTGTATTTTATATGAATACAACCTTATGAAAATTGAGATGCAATAGAGTGGGGGGCGCAGTCATAGATCAGGGGGTCACGAGACCATTGCACCGGTCCGGGCTTTGTACAGGGTGAACATAGTAAAAAAAAAAAAGTGATTACTGAAAATTCATCTTTATCGCAGTTCTTAGCAACTAACAATTTTATTTGCTTATTAAATGGAACAGTTTACGGTTTATCGTAGATTTCAATTACCAGCTTCCTAGGACTTGTGTCGCAATTATTATCTTTTGGTGTTGGTCGACGTACCTTTAAGTTGAAAAAAAAAAGAGCGTACCATGTACCATATAATTAATGAAAACGATTGTAAATATTCTTTTTATTGTGAAAAATTATTATTCAATGTAACCTCACTGTACTTAAAAGAACACTGATAAGCTCTGTCTCTTGTTTAAGATAGTTGTTCTCCCTGAACTCTGAATACTGATTTTCAACGTAGGCAAATCTTAACCATTTAGAAGACTGGCGTATTAAAAGTTTCATCGAGACATTTATTCGCTACTAGTTAGCCTTTGACTATATTAAGATTAGCGTCTTAAATTTTGAAAGCTTTCATAACTTTGAAATGCAAATAATCCAAAGAAACTGTTAAGGTTTGTCTCGTAGCTAAGACAGTTGCCTACTAGATCGAGAGACAAAAATACGAGAACGGAAATATGATTGGGAAAGCGTGAAAGAGTAAGAAGAGGAAGTGGACAAAAAAAGATATATTAGTCCTGACCTGGCATCTCAGCTTCAGTCCTTTTCCAACCTTCGTAACGTAGCTTCTCTGTGTCTTTTCTACAAATACTTTCATGGTGACTGTTCGAATGAACTATTCGCTATTGTACTTAGATTATAAATTAAAACACAGTACTAGATTGCCGGCAAGATGTCATCAATTTACAGTTGAATTGCCTAGATGGAACCGTAAGTTCTATGCTAGTAGTTTCTTTTCTCGCAATTTTCACCTATGGAAATCTTTTCTTGCTTCTTGCTTTCCAACCAACTTTAACCTTCAAAAATTTAAATGTCATTTTATCTGCTGTATTCTTGATTATTCTTTCAGTGTTCTCGCCTCTTAATATTTCTTTTTTTTTTTATTTTTCACACTCAGTAGTGGCTTTACTGCCTTGCGTAGGGTGATACGATTAAAAAAAGAAAGAAAAAAAAAAACAGATTTTGGAGAGGTTTTCATGCGAAGACATGACGTAAGCAATTTGCTGGAAGTTTGCCGTGTGCTCAATGAATTTAACAAGAGATAAAACTTTTTTTGGAAACACTTCGTGACAAAATGCCAGACATCAAGGGAATTACGCGTGCAAAAGATTAAAAATCTCACCAAAAGAGAGAAACGAAATTAAAAAAAAAAAAAAACTGTCTCTATAGAATGAGAAAAAAAAAATCCTCTTAACCAGAATGGTAAATTTTTTCCGCCCAAAACGTCCCCCAAAGTCTGTGATAGAGTCCAGTGGCAGGAAGTTAGATATGAATAAATTTACGTCATTTCCGGTACACTGACTGAAACAATGTCAGCTTATTTAGACCAAAGAAAGAACAACTACTTTTTCTTTCTTTCTCGCAAAAAGAGGAAAAAACAAAATAATTTAAATATTTGTTAGCAATTACTTTTTTCAAAATAATATACTGGATTACATTTTATCCTGTTATTCTTTTAGCAAATTAAAAACAATTTTGACTAGCTTCTTATATTTATTTACGGAGCCCCAATAATTAATTTTCTTTCAGTCCAATTTTTTTTTTGTACACTTATCTCGAAACGACTGCTTAGATCCAATTGCGGCGACTTTTCTTCCAGGTCTGAGTTGGATTAGAAAATTGGCTGGATTATCGGATTAGTGACGATTAACGAATTCGTTTTCTACGGTTTATCAACTTTGTAACTCATGTAAAGACAGAAAATATGTTAAGCTGTAAGAAATATTTTTTGAGATAATGATTTACTGATAAAAGTCTTACTAATTAACCCATAGCTGGGAGGAGAAGAGGTGGATTCATACCTTTCTCAAGGCTATTTTGCGCGTAAGTGAATATAACGAACCCAACTGGAATTGGAACCCTGTTCTTCGATTAAAAATTCCGTGCCATTATCAATTACACCACCTGCACATCCAAGTTTACAGCACCGGGTATTCTCAAGCGGTCACTCATCTGACCAGGTTTGATGTTGCTTAACTTCGGTGATCGTATGAGAACCGACGTTTCAACGTAATATGGCCGTAAGCACTTTATACTAGCCGCACATCCAAGCTAACAGCACCTGGTATTTCCAAGCGGTCAATTATCTGACCAAGATCGACGTGGCTTAACTTCGGTGATCGTACGGGAACCGATGTTTCAGCGTGATATGGCCGTAAGCCTGGATTAGTGACGAGGTTAGATTGAGTAACAACATCTGAACAAAATACTTGACTTATGTACCTACCATATTTCTAAGTATCACGATGGACGTACAAACAATAATGAGAATCAATGACCTTGATCAAACGGTGTTCCAATTAAAAGGGGAGCCAACAAGTCTTATTTTCATAAGCACTAACATATAAATTCAAATTAAGATATAAAATTGTCGCGTCTTACTCAGTACTATAATTTTGCTTAAAGTCGGCTCGTCAGTTGGCGTGTGAGGACAATTTTAATAATTCAACCCACGGAGATAATGTACCATAGAATATCTTAAATTTGCATATCTAATTAAGTAAATCATTAACCTGGCGTCAAATGTACTAATACATATTCCCCTACGTGTTTACCTTTTATCAATATCACATATATTTTATTCAGCAAATTCGCTTGGTTGGTTGATTGATTTTGTTTAGTGGCATATCAACCTCCATGGGTTATTTTTTAACACAATTTTATGGCTTCAACTAAATCTATTTTGAATGCAATTGTATGCTGAAGACAAAATCTACTGTTGGTCATAAGTATGTGTTGCTGGTGATTTTACTATAAATATATATTGTTGGTTGGTTGATTTTATTTAGCCGTATATCATCATCACTATGGGTTATTTAATGCCGAAATCTAAATATTTTGTACGTAATTTTATGCTTTCAAGGTAAAAGTACGTTTTTTTTTAAATATATAGTTTGTAAATCATAAAATGTATTGCTTGTAATTTTATTATAAAAATGTAATTTTATTATAAAAATGTATTTTTATATATTTTTAGCGTTGCATTGTCATTTTGCTATAAAATGTATTGTTGATCATTTTATTATTTTGTTTGCAGATTCACTATTTGCCCTTAGCTGGGACCCTAACAGGTGCTACCACCCCGGGCTAGGGTGAACCTGTGGAACAACAGCAGTTGAGATGTGGTTCCAAATTCTTCAAAACCCCCAATCAGTCGGTCAGAGGGTTTGCTGCCGGATGTAATCTATCGTTATATCATGGTCGGGAAAACGGCCTTTAGGCAGTTACTATTTAGGCGAAACCATCATATAATAACTGTTTTCGTCTCTCCCTTCGTTATTTACTTAGATCGCACGACCATTATGTCCTGCCAATGCCTCGTAAATAATGGACTATGCCGTTTTGAACACGTGGAAAGAGGGGAAAAGACTACCTAGCTTCAGTGAGAAAATGAGCGTTTCCTGCCAATACGGCATATATAATGGACTATTACGTGGAAACACAAAACATATCAAAGGCGCTAGTTGGTTTCAGCGAGAGAATGAAGTGAAGAAAGAAGTCCTTAACTCTTTTAGCCCTGACCACCTCTTTACCGGAGGTAGAGAAAAATGACGTAATGCCTAGTCACCGGTTGAGCAGTGGTAGAGAAAAATGACTTAATGCTCAGCCACCAGTTGAACGGTGGTTAAACACATGTAATTATTTTTACAGTGAGTCCCCCGTATTCGCGGGGTTTAGGGACCAGAACCGACCGCGAATAGTTAGAATCCGCGAATTAAATTAAAAGTGCTTATAAGTACCTATTTTGAATGTTAAAACCCGATATGCCTTAAAATTTCATCCCAAATACTTTAGAAACATTTCAGACTCTTTTAAAAACATTTTTGAAAAATAGTATTGGTGGCCATACACTTAGTGTAAAATTTTTTCATCCGTACAATGACCGTTTTTAATTACGCATAGATCGATACAACCATTGAAAATACTGTATAAAATATGTGTAACAAGACATAAAATATAAAGTTTAAAACATTTTCTAAAAACGGAACTGTGATGATGCCCCCAAACTTAGAATAAACCTCTTTTAAGACCCCAGTCGCAGCCCCTAACAAAGAACAAAGCCCAAGCACTAAACATGTTTTTGCGTTTGTTTTTTACAATGAAGATGTACAATTCTGCCAATTTTTACCATAAAAATGAACTGTTATACGTTTTAAGTCACTTAAATAACAGGAAAAAAAATACAACAATATTTTAAATATGTTCTATCGAAAAAATACGCGAATCGAGGGAATTCTCAGCGAATAATTTGTACATATGTTCTTCAGAATATTCGGGGTTTCCGCGGATAACAATATGTTCTAAAGAAAAATCCGCGAGTGTGTGAAGCCGCGAATGCTGACACGCGAATAGGCGGGGCTCATTGTATATCTACCGTGAAACATTACACACCAATTATTTGCTATTTTTGGCTCAGGGGCTCAGGCAGAAAGGTTAAAATTGTTCCGAAATGCAGGGTTCAAAGGGCTAACGGTTGTTTCAGTGAAGTGGAGAAAGTTAATTTCAAATCTTTTCATTTGTACCCACTTCTTAAAATAACGACCAGGATTCATATCTGATGATTTTTATTGCAATATTTTGTTAAAGTTGTTAAGCTCAAATATTTAGCAGTGTAAAAGGGGAATTTATACGGTTATTTTATTGTTAGAGAACTTATAATGACCCTTTTCAATAATTAACTTAACAATTAAGATTCATAAGAATATTTAAATAGGAAAACCATGAAATTTTCACGTGTCTTTCTAATAATAATAAAGACTTATGGTTTTTTTTTTATATCTTAATTCGAACTTTTTATATTATTCTGTTCGGAAGAACATAACAAAATAAAATTTTTCAACGAGCATTCTTTGTTGCTGCAACTATTTTCGAAACGGTGGGTGTCCTGGGCAAGTCGATAAATTACGTCTAACAGCAAGGCCTCTGGTCAGGAGGTTTTGAGGAGCGTGGAACCACGTCGTAAATGCTGGTGTTCCCGTGTCCACCTTGACCCGGGGTGGTAGCACCTGTTAGGGTCCCAGCTATGGGCAAATCGTTAATCCATAAATTGGAGTCAATGAAAATGTAAAAATAGGTTTTAATACCAGCAATAAATTTCTTGAGGAAAAGTTATTACCAGCAATACATATTTGAAAGATAATATATTACTAACAATGCATTTTTGTAAATAATTATTACCAGAAATACATCTTTGAAAAAAAAAATTACCAGCACTACATTTTTGAAGAAAAAGTATTACCAGCAGTACATTTAAAAAAATATTAGCAGCAATAAAAGTCTTGTTGGCATTAAATAACCAATTGAGGTCAATATGCCGTAAAACAAAACAAACCAAACCAATATATACTGAGATAGATAGATAGATAGATAGATAGATAGATAGATAGATAGATAGATAGATAGATAGATAAAAAATGTTACTAGCAATAAAAATCTTGTTGGCATTAAATAACCAATTGTAGTCGATATGCCGTAAAACAAATAGATAGATAGGACAACAACCCGAACAATGTAAATAATGTAAATAGTTAAGATAGCTCAACTCAGAAATATATACAAATGTTCGAGAAAGCTATATGGTTGCAAGCATGAAGTGACCAAGTGTTTGAGCGTACAGGCGTTGTTCAACTAGTGATCGCGCAAGATTAGGCGCTCTCTTACAGAGATTGTAACTAAGGTCAGCTCAACATATTTGCATTCTAAACATACAGGTTGGCATCGTAGGTGTTGAAGAAATATTAATGTACCTGAGCAGGCGTTTGCAACAGGGATTTACTAGATTCTGGCAATTTCGACGTGTTGTCGTAAACTGGACCTCAAAGACAGGAAAGAGCCTCACAGAATCCGGGTAGTGAACGAGAATGAAAAATTATTTCTTAAAACTGGTTTAAGCATGTTAAGGGGCGGTGGATTTGTCCCTTGAAATGAAAGCCAGGAAGAAGTCGGCCATTGTTTGAAGATTGAGGAAATACAAAGTAAAGGAGAATCTGATCACCATTACACGAAAAAGTTGAATTATTGAAAGATGCAATACGCAAAAAATGACATAAAATTAAAAAACGAAAACACTTTAATAGAATTAGATGTAAACGGAGTTATAATATACACAAAAAGCGCATATGCTTCCTTGCAACCTACGTTCTTCAAAAATTTGGATGCAACGTGAATCGACATCTGTCTTCCTGAATTCTGTTCTTTTATTCTCCTTACTAAAGACTTCTCATTCGTTTTCACTCACAGTAACCTTCTTGTGTCTTAGTGGCATTATCGCCTTATTCGGAATGAAATGATTAAACATGTTTTACCGTCAAGCCTCGATAGAGTTCAAAAGCAATTACGCGGCCTTGTTAGTGATGAATTATTCTCTACCCTGCAGCCCACAGGCAAAACGTCGCTAGCATCCCACTATTCTATCGCTATTGCTATAGCGGGTGTTTGGATGAGTTGCATAACTTTTTTTTCCACCAGCTCAGACCGATGCAGCTAGGAACCACCGTGCCATCTTCATAGCGGCACATCATCCCTTTGTGTTCCATTGTTAAGAAACCAATGTAATTCAAGTAGCTTCTTCACCAGAACTGTTGCTTTGTGGAACAGACTCCCCAGAGAATGTTTCCCTGACAACGACAAACTTGGTCTACTCAAGTCCTGGGTCAACTAATATATATCTTGCACAACCTCATTATATACATTTCTTACATCCTTCTTCACCCTCCCTTACAATAATCTCACTCAGTAACCCTCTACCTTGAGTGGCTCTTGTATTGTGTGAAATAACAGTGTGTGCGTATATATATATATATATATACACACGCACACACAGAGAGGGTGCGATGGGTAAATTGTCACCATTTTATATTTTTAATTTCGCGCATGCGCGTTGTTCGCTTTTGATTTTGTCGCTGCACAGTATAGTAAAGTCAGTTGAGCACCATCTGTGAGAAAAAGAGCACCAATGACGCAATTCACTCCACCAGAAATTTGAAAACGATATGTTGTACTGCTTGGCATTCACACCGGAAGCTTCAATACGAACATTTCAGAGTGTTTGGGTGTCAATCTGAGGACAGTGCAGGGGGTTCAGAAAGAGGTGGATGAATCTAATGATGATTACGAAGGTGTTTGTTGTGATCACTGGTGATAGCGACGTTATGCCTCCATTCATCTACCCACAAGGCCTCAGATTCAACACGGAGGCCTACATCAAGTGCTTTGTGGAGGTAGTGCTGCCCTAGGTCAAGAGGGTGGCTTCTGGAAAACTACAACAGGACTCTGCACCACGCCACACAAGCAGGAAAACCTAGTCATGGCTGTCAGACAATGTCGGCGACCGCATCACATCTTACATCTGGCCACCTAAGACCCCAGACTTCAACCACCTTGATTATTATGTGTGGGGCGCAGTTGAAAACTCCTTGTAATACCATGAAGATGAACTGGAGGTAACGATTATGGCAGCAATCATCAACTTAAACAGGGAGAACGTCCAGAAGAGTTGCAGGAGATTCCGAAGTCGTCTGGAGGCCATGGTTGAAGCCAATGGCGAATTTATTGAATACATTTACACTTTAATATTTCACGATATTTTTGTGTAATTTTGGTAAATATATCTGTTAAAATCTTAACTGAGATGATAGTGTTATTTTCATTTTTTTTGCGTAATTTAGACAACAATTTATCCATCGCGTGCACACACACACACACACAAACACACATATATATATATAAGAAACAAGTTATAAAGTTCATCGCAAACAAAGTCCATACGAAAAATGTTTTTTTTTTTACAACACCAAAGAAAAGAATTATGTTAGTATAGGGTGAGAAGTATGTGTAAAATTATCACGGTAAGATCTACAATTTACGTTATTGTATGTGTGTATAACGTAAAATTTCTGGTTGTCAGCTGATAATATCAGTACTACTACAGCTTTTAGAATTACGCTTTGTTTATGTGTCGCTTGTGTGTTTTCATAATGTAAACTGGTTCATAAAAATACTTTAAAAGAGAGAACTTTAGTACTCAATAGGTTAATGCAGAAATTTGAGTAATCAGTATTATATACATCCCGGTTATACTGAAGATAATTAATTTACGTTACGCTATTTACGAGTAAAAATCGGATAACAGGAAGTTATTAAGATTTATTAAAATCAGAACTTTTATTGGTTAATAAATATATTTTTCATTATTACTATCGATTTTTAGGGTTGAAAAAGATTGTTAATCGCTTTCTGGATGTGAGCCTTTATTTTTTAGCATACAACACAGAAATGGTTGTCTGCTTTTTCAAAGCTTGAATGGCGTTTGGTAGAAAATCCCCACTGGTTTGTTAATAAATGCTAATGTGGGAATTTCTATTTCACGTTTGTGTGATCCTATTTTTGCACAGAATTGGGATTTTAGTGATACGGCTTAAATCTAATGATTTTTTTCGACAATTCTTTTATCTGAAAATTTCACCCCAAACAAGGCAATAAAGCCACTAAGACGCAAGAAAAAAAGAAAAAGAGAGAATAATAATAAATAACAGGAATTAAGAAGGCAGAAGATAACGATTGACATTGCAATTAGATTTTTGAAGATCAAAGTTAACTGGAAACAAGAAGTCAGAAGAGAATTCCAGAAGCGAAAAGTGTAAGAGAAGGAACTGTTAGCATAAAACTTACGGTTACATCTGACCATTTCAACAGTAAAATGATTACCGTTGTTGTCGAAGTCATAAAACCCATAGAAGAAGTTATTGTAATTCATTTTTTAAAGATTTCTGTGGATCAATTTTGATTGTAACATCAAGAACAATGTTGATGCAATGCAGATTTCAAGCGATTTTGAATAATTCACAACTATTGAACTGTGTTATCAATTATGTATGCCTAAGTTGTATATGTTAGATTTTATTATGAAAGTTAATGTGTTTCAAAAATTCGTATTAACCAATCAATATGAGGAAAAATTTAAAGATAACAACGCTCTCCTACCGCCCATCAGCATGGCTGATGCTAACCTCCATGAAACTAACTCGTTGTGTTTTCTCGGCTGACATGAAGTGGAAAGACTATATTGAATTCATTTCTAGCTGAGAAGAAAGTTTATTCGCTGTCGTGCTAGACAATTTTTCTGTCCTGAATCTATCTTTCATATTTATAAGTCTACCATTCGTCCATGCCTTGAATATTGCTCCTTCTGTATATTTAGAAATCCTTGATAAAATCCGAAGAAGAATCAGCAATATTATTGGTCCTGATCTGGCATTTCGGCTTCAGTCACATTCCCACCGCCTTAATGCAGCTTGCCTGTCTCTTTTCTATAAATACTTTCATGGTATTTGTTCTGATCAACACTTCGCTATGGTACCTAGACTTTATGAATTTAAGCACAGTACTAGACTGGAGGCAAGGTCTCGTCGTTTCACTGTTGTATTCACGAGATGTAACCGTAAGTTTTATGCTAACAGTTTCTTTGGCATCGTGGTGTTATCAAGTATTTGCAGAAAAAGGATTTAGCCACCCACTCAAACAAACAATAAAAAACAAACATTCAAGCTCTCATGTTTGATACATTAGGGTATGATGCATTAGCTTTATCAACAGTGCAAAAGTTGGCCGCTGAATTTAGATGTGGGGGAGGATGGAGAGTATTGACGATGACCTAAAGTCTGGATGCCCTGCAAATACTACTGTCGAGGAAAACCTTGACGATGATGGGATGCGACACATTTTTTTTTAATCGTATGACTCCCCACCACACACAATTAGGAGTATGAATGTTCTATGGAAACCTTATCCAAAAGAAAGATTTAAAATATGCACACATATTCGATCTTATTGGGTTTAAGTGTACTAATTAATATTGCACATTCACTACACAAGCATTTGCATTTAGCTACCATATTTGCTAGTATTTAAGATGAAACTATTTTAGCTATATGTTCATGCTCAGCAATGAAAGTTATTTTTAAAAATCATTTCACCCCAAGCAAGACAATAAAGCCACTAAGGCGTAAGGACTTACTGAATGCTAGAGTATATAAGAAAAAAAACAATATTAAGAAGAGAGAACAATAAAAGAACAGGAATTAAGAAGACAGAAGATAACTATTAATATTGCATTTCAGTTTTTGAAGATCAAACATGACTGGAAAGCAAAAAGTCGGAAGAGAGTTTTACAAGCGAGAAGTGCGAGTGAAGATACTGTTAACATAGAACTTACGCTTACATTTAGCCATTTCAGCTGTAAGATAACGAGATCTTGCTGCCAATCTAGTACTGCGTTTAAATTCTAGATACCAAAGAGGAAAGCTCATCAGAACAATTACCATGAAAGTATTTATAGAAAAGGCACAATGAAGCTATGTTATGGCGGTAGAAAAACGACTGAAGCCGAGATGCCAGATCAGGACGAATAACATTGCAGATT